TCTCCCCACAACAGACCCCCTGCGAGGTAGGTGGGGCTGAAGAGAGCTCTTTGAGAATTGCTCTTGAGAGAACTGTGGCTTGCCCAAGGTTACCCAGTAGCTGCATGTGGAGGAGTAGTGAAGTAGGGAATCAAACCTGGTTCTCCCAGATTAGAGTCTGTGCTCCTAACCACTACATCAAAGTGGCTTTCATAAGATGACTTCCATGGTGAGAGTGTCTCTCTGGGAAAAGAGAGAAGCACTCTCCCTCGAAGATGCATTCCCTTCTCTTCAGGGGAAGGACATTCAAACAGGTGGTGGTGATGTTCCATAAAGTGCAGAAGTTCTAGTCTGTTCTGCACTGGAAATGGTGAGAGGGTCTCTCTGGGGAAAGAGAGAAGCACTCTCCCTCAAAGATGCATTCCGTTCTCTTCAGGGGAAGGACATACAAACAGGTGGTGGTAATGTTCCATAAAGTGCAGAAGTTCTAGTCTGTTCTGCACTGGACATAGGAATGGCTGGTGCAGTTGAGCTGGATTCGTGTGCTCTGTATTCAGTCCCTGTCAGAAAGCAATGCTACAGATTGTTTTCTGCCAGACTTTTTAGCTATCTTGGAAAAAAACACTTCATGTATAGTATGTGGCATTAATTCAAATGTGAAATTCCTAAAACCTGGGATGATTTTGGCCAAATTCCACTTGGAGGGGAACAGCCACAGTTCATTGGCATAAAATGTGTCCTGGTCAGAGGTGTCTAGGCTCAGTCTATGACTATTCCCTAGGCTGTAAATATTCAGTTGTAGCATAACCACCTGGAACTGGCAAAATCACATCTCCATTCTGCATACACACACAGGTCCACTGTCACTTGTCTGGATTATGCTTCAGTTGGTGAGTTCAGGGCAGAAAGTGAGCTGCAGATATTCACCCCATCTCAAGGCATGAAGCTCTTAAAAGGGAAGTTGAGTAGGGTTGAATTGGGCTACTATTTCCTTTTATCTTAAATTATGTATAGTTTAATAAATACACAGTAAATTGTCCTTTTGTCTGTCAAGCAGGAGGAATGTGCTCTCAGGTGAAACTAGATTCCCCGGTACAGATTTGGACTGTGGTGGGTGGGGGCTTAAGCCTTGCTCCTGTGCTTTTTCCAATCCAGAAATGTCCTGGGGAGCGGCTATGTGCCCCAATGAGCACACCTGGGAACCAGGTTTCGTCTGGGACACATCTGCTTGATGTTCCCCAGGCAGATGTTGCCCAGCCATGTATTAATGCAGCTGGGTTCTATATGTAGGAAATCGCCTAGGAATAAAGATCCTGCCAACACAATTATTGATCTTCAAGTCTCTCTTTGTATTTTGGTATTGGAAGAGCAAAGTCTTTGTACCTCCAGTAATGTGATGTAAGCATTTCAGGATCAGGGAAAACAGTGTGAACCAAGGCCACTATGTGCATGGCTGTATGCAAGAGGCGCTAAATTGTATGTTTGGGGGGCACAGACCCACATACTCAGAAGAAGAAGAGACTTGGCCTCTACAAAAGGCAGGGGGCAGGGCCAGAGACAGACTTAACAAAATGAAAGCTGGGAATTCAGATGAGTGAGTAGATCGTGGCAGTAGATTTTTGTAACACTACTGTCCTATAGCAAACTAGCAACTGCTGTTGTTTTTTTAAAGCTCCCCACGGTATGGGAGGAAATGGGCAATTGTTGGGGGCAAGGAAGGTATAGGGAGAACCACCATGTGGGCATTCTGTGAAAGCTATGTGGAAAATTATTACCCTGGGGAAGATGATGTGATGTGTTGAGATGTGGAATTTGATACTGGTAAAGGATTCAGCATTCAGAAAGCTTTCATTTTTTAAAAGTGAACTGTTAAGCTTCATGACTTTATGTTTCTAACAAAACCAGAATAAACCAAATAGCAGACATTATGCATAGTGGCTCAATTTCATACTCTTCCTGTAGATTGCCCACCCACCCCCCTTCAGGGAAGTATTCCCCAGACTTTTCAGGAGAATTGTTTTTGATTGCTCAGGTTATGCTGTTGAAACAAATATCATCATATAAGAATGGTCTTCCACTGAGAAAATATGAGGTTTTTTGGTTATGCCTGGAAATTTCATCCTTTACCTTGACCTTTCTTCATTTTTGGATACTTTGAGAGCTGACTATAGTTTCTCAGTGCTAGAAAGAATACATATTGCATGTTTCAGGTGCAGCTTGTAGTCTGGTTTTCCAATATCTGCAACAATTGGCTCTGTCAATTAATAATGTATGTTCTTGCATTTTGCCAAAAGGGGGCAGGGTATATTCATTATTTTTGGGTTTACTCAGTATCTGAAGTCAAGGATTCTCCCCCTTAACTAGTTAGAGTGTGAAATCTCTACTTCAATAAAACAGCTGCATACATTTTCTCTCCTCAATGCATCAGACCCTCCCCACCTCCATTTCTGCACTAGGTTAACTTCCCCAGAAGTTTGATTTGTTCTGGAATAGTGCTTAACTTCCAATATCTGTCATATATAAGGTACGAACCAACAGGTTTATTTTAATTAATATATTTTACCCCCCTTATAAACTGACAGGTTCTTCAAGGCTACTTACGAAGTTTTTTGTAAGTATAATAAACATCAGTAAAACTCAAAATAACATCTAGCATCGCAAAAGTCAGTAAAGATTAAATTATGCATGGTATGGTGGAAGTGGACAGAGAGACCATTTTATCCTTTTCCCATTATGCTAAAAATTGGGGGCTCCCATGAAGGACATGGATGGTAGACTCGGAACAAGGAACCTCACACATTGAGTAAGTTGTAGAACTCACTGCCATAGAATTGCCCAGTTTAGGCTTCTACACCTATAGCAGCATGAGGTGGTAGAACAGGCTGTACTACTTCAAACTGCACTCAGGGGAGTCACATTTTTAATACTCCCCACATAAAACAATCTGGATATTTTTTTTACTACTTCATAGGGAAAAGTTCTAGAGTAGTCCTTCACAAGCTGTGCAAATTTGACAGTTTCAGAAAATTATTAAGATAGAAGAACTTTGGAAAAAAGAAATTCCCTGCAGTCTGTAGTGGTGTAATCCATTCTATCACCTCAGCCACTTTATTAGTACCCCATTCTGTCTTGCGGGGCAGACCAGGCCTTAGATACGCCAGTACCAGGCAATTGATAGCTTT